CTAACAACAATATTAGGTTATACTTTTATTGCTAAGCAACATGACATGAAAGCCATTGTTGGAATTCATTATTACCAAAATGCACTGGCTTTTCTATATATTAGAAGTTTTTATATAAGGAACCACTTCTTTTTTGCTAGCTTGCCTCATTAAAAAGATACACATGCTTGTGGATAAAATAAGTAATAATACCCAGGTGCACACCCTCAGGGTCCACTTAGTATGGGTGCAAAATTTCAGATTTCTAGGTTCTTTCCTATTGGAGCTATGGTGGTCACAGACATACCCTTTTATTACTATAGAAGTATCTTCATAGTGAATTCCAAAAGTAATAATGTTAAAATGGGCTTCTCTTTATATGAGTTTATTACTAATTGCTTAGTCTTGCTCTCATTGGCATTGACCAGAAATTTACATTCACACTTTAATTATGGATCAATTCTCATTATTATTGATATGTATAGAAAAACAGAGGATAATTATACCTTTTTATTGGACTTTGTTTAGATGCTTCCTGGATTTGTTGGCTTGGATTTATTAAGTTCTGTTGAAACTGAAAAGCTTGTGCTTTCTGAACTTGTCTTGGTTTCTTTTTGTTAATGTCCTGTGAAATATATCAATTTCCATAAGTTCCATTTATGTGCATTCCATAATCCTATAAAAAATTTTAATATCTTTTTTGGATTAAATAGACATAAGCACAGGGTTTGCACAGTTTTAAAAAAGTCTAAGTTTCATGATTATCTTGAAACATCCTTTAATCTTGGTTTAAAGTGCCCTTGAAGTTTTACAAAAGCATTTGAAAAATGCTTAGATCAAAATAATGTTTAATATACATACCATTTAGTATTATATAATAGAACCCCTTCAGAAGATTTCTTGGATCAGTCAGTCATTAAATTGTTTACTTTTGTTAGTTCTCTTTGTCTTTACCAGAGCAGCACTCCAATCAATTCATGCTTGGTTTTCGAGAAACCAGTTTGCTAATGTGATTTGCCAGTGTCAATGTAATATAGAGTATCAAGCATGAAAGCGAGTAAAGGAAAACAAAAGTAAATGTGACTGTATGTGTATATTTTTTGCTGAAAAAAATGTGACATTTAATTTAAGCCTATTTTTATGAATATTCAACATGGAAAAATAGTGTATTCAATAGGAAATGTTTAGACTAAGATGAATTCAAAAACTGGGTTAGACAACACATGGATGACACTATATGGCATGTTGTGCTACTTGTAGTTTCTTTAGAAAAAAAATACATTGAAGCTGTTTCTTCAAATAGTGAGACAAAACCAGGAAGCTTTTAAAACAAAACTTTCATGAAGTTTGGTTGTTGGGAGTCCTTGAAAGACATTAGTTGAAGCCTTGAAAAGTTCTTAAGAAGTCCTTGAATTTTATTATCATTATTGTATGTAAAGCACTAATAATGGAAACAAATAAAGTTATATTATGTGGATCAGTGGTACTTCTATGGTTTTATTGCTAAAAGTATGATTTGGATACCCACATTTGGCAGAGCACATACAGCCCATTATGTAGTTCTGTGCTTAACAATAAACAGACAGACAAAAATCTATTGTGGCAAATAATTAGTATTTTATTATTGTGAACTAAACCTGAAATTCTATACATATTGTACATAGAAATTAGAAAAGTATCAAATTTAACACAGTACTTGTCACCTGTACCTCTTCTTTGCAAGGTGATGGTTATTTCTAATAGGTCAAATTGAGTTTTTGAAAGCAATCTTTATATTTTTGCTTTATATCTTTGTTTCACAGTTCTGCCATCTTACGGTTCAATCCTTGGTGGATTTCTTATCATTATTTTGATTTTAAAGGTAAAATGAATACACACATCTCAAAAACACTACTACTCAAGTTACCTTCTGTATTTTAGGTTCTAGAGTGATAAAGTTTGTTACCTTTTGACTGTTGAAGGTATGACTAATTGTAGTATGTAGGACTAAATGAGTAAAGTAGAAGTTAAGAGAAAGACACTTAGAGAGTTAAAGCTATTGTTTATTTATGGTACAAGGGTTAATATTCTGATATTGATCCTTATTTTACTCTTAAACTATAAACACTAGGGAGAGGTGGTGAGGTTGTTTCATGCAGAACAAGAAAAGTTTCTAACTATGGATGAATACAAGAAAAAACAATTTGTTTTCTTGAGATCTACAGGCAGAGCCACTGCCACAGCTGCCACCAGTTCAAAGGCATTATGGGAAGTTGAGGTATGTGACTTAGTATGTTAAATATTTCCTGACTTGTCTTTGCTATGGAATTGGTACATCTTTTTCTGATTAACATATGTGACGACTCTTTTCTTTATGTTCAACCTTGTAATAGTATTAGTAAGTTGTTGTAAACTACTCAACCTCTATTTTGTTGAAGTACAGGTAGTTCACCACGATCCATGTAGAGGAGGTGCTGGTCATTGGAACAGCCTCTTTAGATTTAAACACCTAGCAAGTGGTCACTATCTGGCAGCTGAAGTAGATGATGATCCAACAACAGACCCAATGAGATCTAAACTCCGAGGTCCACCTGTAAACCAAGTGTTCTGCTTAGTGGCTGTTCCATTATCTAATGATATCGCTTCAATTTTTGAGCTTGATGCCACAACACTCACTAGAGGGGATGATCTTGTACCACAGTAAGTAAAGATGTTGTTTCTTTTTTTTTTCTACATTTATTCATGTTGTGACCAACACCATTTAAAAAGCATAAACATTTAATAAATGATTATTATTACCAGTAAAGACATATTTTATTTTGAAAAATATGATGTTTTTATTTTAGTTTCATACAAGAATTAGGATGCATTGAGAATTTATTTCCATATAGTTCAGCATTTCATAATGATGTAATATTTTACCTAAGAGGATATTCAGAATATTTTTTTTTATTTGATTGTAATTTGCTAGTTATTAATGTGTCTATCTTCAGATGCATTTATACAGTCAGAATATAGACCTTGTATTATTCTATTGGAAGGTGAAGGTACACCAATATCCTGTAATTTAATGGATGTAAATTGTTTTAAATATACAGTGGAAAAGATATAACAGAATGTGATTCACAAACTCATTATTGAAACTGTAATGTTTTTTAAGTCGGTTAGTGTTCAATAAATGCTTGTATCCATTGTTACATGTAAATAATTAATTTACGTTGTGTATTTGTTAATAAAAAGAAAGCTACCTTTAGTTTATATTAACAAATACACAATATAAGTTAATTATATACATGACTTAGAAAAACATTTTAATTTTTAACTTTTAATTCTTTGAAATGTTGATCAACCACCTATGCTTTTTTTTTCTGGTAGATCTCTGTATACTACAGTTAATGCCTTTGTAGTTTTCTTGAAAATAGTTAATTTTTGTGTAAAATATGGACTAGGGTATATTTTGACAGTGTTACACAATACTTGGATATTACTTTGTATTGATGATATTTTACTTCCTATCAGGTCTTCCTATGTTCGTCTTCGCCACTTGTGCACCAACACGTGGGTACATAGTACTACCATTCCTGTTGATAAAGAAGAAGAAAAACCAATGATGTGGAAGGTACGAAAGGTTTAAAGAACATATAATTTAATTAAATGAGTGATTATAAGAAATCTTGTATTGTTTTTTTAGGAAAGACTGTTTTATTTTGGGTAAGCAGCCTCTTTTTCAGATTTATTTTTGATGCTACTTACTGGTTTTAGAGATGGTTCTACTTCTTGTCAAATTGATCTTTTGGCCTGGTAATTAACGTGCTTGACTCACAAGCTGAAGGTCGCAGGTTTTAATCCCCTTCAATGAACATGCTCTCCCTATCAGCAGTGGGGGCATTATAATCTGATGGTCAATCCTTCTATTCGTTGGTGAAAGAGTAGCTCAAGAGTTGGCAGTGGGTGATGTTGACTATCTGCCTTCCCTCTAGTCTATTGCTGTTAACTTGGGGATGGCTAGTGGAGATACCTCTTGTGTAGCTTTGTGCAAAATTTAAAACAAAACAATCAAAAACTTGTTAAACAGAATAATGGCTTGGACAAAGTTATAAGAACGTGCTCTCCCTTTGATGCTACTTACTGGTTTTAGAGATGGTTCTACTTCTTGTCAAATAGATCTTTTGGCCTGGTAGTTAACGTGCTTGACTCACAAGCTGAAGGTCACAGGTTTTAATCCCCTTCAATGAATGTGCTCTCCCTATCAGCAGTGAGGGCATTCATTATAATAGTCAGTCCCTCTATTTATTGGGCATATAAATTTTCATAGCTAATTTTTGTTTTTGGTATCACATAGTTTAAATATTATAAAAGTTTATTTAGTTTTAAAACTCAGTGTTAAAGTGTAAAGATTTCTTAATTTGTTTTTGTAGTTTCTATCAAAGTATTTTGAAATACTTTTTGCATTTTGTCAGATCGGATATTGTATTAATTGATCGGGAATACTGATTGTATTTATTTATGTTTAAATCACATAATTATTATTCAATAATAATAATAAATTTGTAATAGTGTTTTATGCTAACTTTTTTTTTCATGTGATATTTATTTTCACCTGTTGATTATACTGAAGCAACAGAGGCTTTCAAATTTAAGTATAATTATTGGAAACATAACAATTCTAGAAAAATATCAAATAGAAGCTAAATTTTCTATTTCAGTTATTGAACGCTTGGTACCCTTTTTTTGGGATATCATTACATATGTTGTAAATAATCTGTTTAAATGTGGTTCAATTTAGGAACTTTTACATAAATTGTGAATTTCTGTTAATGAGATAATGCAAACCTTTGGATACAAATGAGCTTGAAATCAAACTCTAAATATACACTACATATATTCATTTTTAGAGTTTTATCAGCAATAGCAAATCTATTTTTAAAGTCCATCAGTGGTAATAGAAGTAGGTATTTCTGAGTCAGAAATTGCATACTTGTTGCAATTATCTTTCATGATGTCAGGAAAATACCTAGGTTCAATAGATTAGTTTAATACAAAAATATGATTCCTATAACCCAAACACATTCAAAATATGGACCTTCCTTCCTCAGAGGCAAACTGGGAATGTTTGTCCCTGAAGAAGAAAGGGCCCACCTTTCAAAAGCACTCGGGTCATAGAGTATTATATTTCTGCTGCATTTTCCAGTTATTTAGAAATTAAAATTAAAAGGTGTGTTTATTGATATCAAGTTCTTCGGTGAATATGAAAATTCTAGTACCGGATGAAGCAAACTGCTATTGTTTGTGTTTTTTTTAAGTAAGTTATACTCCAGTCTTTCTTTCATTTATTTCCATTAACAGTATTTATTACAGTGTTTAGTTTTTTATTTTGTGTTATATATTTTTATTCTAAAGGATATTTTTATGTTATTACCTTAGCATATGAATTTCGACTAACCTAAATCTCCTAAGTTGGAAAAACTTTTTGAAATATCTTTGGAAAAGTGGCTAAAAGTTTTCCTAACAACGAGATTACCAAACTGTTGAAACATTGTTTTGATCATTATAAATAAGAGCACATTAAATTACCCATTTTCATTACCAGGTTTACTTTAGTTTTAGTCTGTGTAGGTAGCTTACTTTTATTAGTAGTTAATAATTTATTGTTACTTGTGTTCCAATAATTATTTTTCTGTCTGTTTCTGTAAAATATATTACATTTGTAGTCAAGCAGTTTAGGCATGATTTTCAGTTTAGTGAAAAAGGTATTCTAAGTCAGTATCTTACACTTTTTTAATAGGTTGGATGTGCATCAGTAAAGGAAGATAAAGAAGCCTTTGCTATTGTACCTGTCTCAGCCACAGAAGTTCGAGACTTGGATTTTGCAAATGATGCATGCAAAGTTTTAGTTACCATCTCCAGTAATCTAGAAAAAGGTTCCATCACTCAAAATGAAAGAAGGTATCTTGAAATGAATAATATTATATATATTGCAGACTATGCTGTCTGTTCGAGCATTTGTCTGTCTTCCATTTACGGCTGCTGCTTCCCGTGCTGTGCACGCAGGCAAAGCTCAACATTCATGTTTGAAATGATGGGAGAACAGGCATGAATAATGTTAATGCCAAATTTTATACCGCAAGCAGGATGTTCTACACTAAAATGTTAGGAATTAATCACACTATCATTCACATTTCAAAATGTGATGTAACTTAAAGAATAAAAATGTAGATTTATTGTATGTTATTGTTGAGCGGCTCTTAGCACAACTGAAATGCTCAATGACTACTTTTGTGGTGGGTGGTATAAGTAGCTCAGAGCTTTGGCTCTGAGTGAAACCAAAACTGCAACACAATTAACCTTTTTAAAGTCCATGAAATATATCAAATTGATGGATTATCTTAAAATTTTCCCACCACTGGGGGCGGGTACTTGTGCTTATAGTTACATGCAACTGATGTTTATTGTTGTGTATGATAACAGTTTTGTTTAATATAATTTTCAGATTAGCATTAAAATATCCTATGGACTACATTATACATGTTTTTTAAGAATTCTTTGATCAAGTTATCAATCCTTTTTTAAACTAGTGATAGAAAAACACTGATAATTTACAACTTATGGTAGTGACTGTGTATTTGAAAATTTAATGATCTAAAAGTTTCTAAATTGGTTTTCATGTTTATGGAAAAAATAGAACTATATATAGATAAATATCACAGTGGTTTCCAAACTTATTCACCTAGAAATACCTTTGCCTCTAGCCGACATTAAAAAATTCCAAGAAACTGTAATAATAATGATAATGCTTTATTAACCATCTCACTCTGGGAGGGTCAAAAGTGCACATGTCATAACTTTTTTTTTTAAGAGTTACATTCAAAGTTTAATCAGACTTCTTTAGTGTCATGGTATATGAATAAACTTGGTAAACAAATTTAGTTATTAAACCAAATGTTAATATTGTGTAAGATTTAAGTTGTTAATTTTATACAGAAATATTTAAAAAATCCCCAATCTCACTCTAATATGAAAATTGTGACATTTGCTTTCTAGGTATCTCTAATTTATTTACTACCCCTCCAAGAAGTATGGAATTTAACATAAATTTATCATTATTATATTGTTATTACACAGGCAGAGCATAATTTTAATAGCTTTCAGTCTTGTATGATTACAGAGCCATAAACTAGAAGATCAGACCCTGCTTGCCACGTCCACCAGTCACATCCTGTCTTTCACAAATTGCTAATATTTCTCTCTGATGTTTAATCCTATATTATTTATAACCAATAGAATGCCAAAGTTTTAACCTATCAAATGACGTATTATATTGCATTGTTTTCTCCACAGAGAATTGTCTATTTCACTTTCAGTTCAGACTTTATTCCCATGGGAACACATCAACAAACTTAGTTGAATTTTTAACAGCTCTTATCACATAGTTAGAAAGCCAGAAAAATTATGGTAGTTATTGGACATTGTCTGCTTTTTATGTGTTGCTATTCCATGTTCTTAGATGCAGTATTTGATTAATTAAAATAATTATTTAGTATGGTATTACCATTGGTATTAAAAAAAAAAAGGCTAAAGTTTTATCGACAGTCAACAACAAAAGACCCAGGTAAGTGCCGTATTTCTTTTTTTCTTTTTTCATGTGTTTATTTATTAATATAAATGTAATTAAACTGTTAGAATTAGAAATTTGTTAGGTTAGATAAATAATGATGATAATAGTTAATATTCTTCATGAGGTGTGCTCACAAGTAGCTTGTGCATTAGATAGGGTAATGCAAGCTACACATTTACCAAGTAATGTACAATTTGTGTGGCAATTTAATTTGTATGTGAATAATTGACACTTTTCCAGAACCCACCCAAAATTTAATTAGACATTCAAAGGGTTAATATAATTCGGCATATTACCATAGAAATATCCCATGGACTACATTACACATAATTATGATGAATTCTTTGATCAAATTATCAATCCTATTTATAATAATTAATGATAAATATACACATTAGGGTCAGTTATTAAAAACGGTTTGATAATTTAAAACTTGCTGTATACATTTCCCAAATTAATGTATTAGTATATAGACACAAATACACCAAGCATAATAAAATATTTCAGTACATGGATATAGGTCTTGTATTACACTTGTGATTTGTACTTGTTATATGTTGGTCTTATTATGTGCTGCTGTATTTAGGTCTTATACTTGTTGTATATAGGTTTTGTATTCTGCTTGTTTTATGTGAATCTGGTATTGCGTTGGCTGTGTGGTTTGTATTACATGTGCTATATGTAGACTTTGTGATTTTAGGTTTGTCACCCAGCTGATGCAAGAACTAATTTATTTCATTGCCTGTAAGGAGAATGACCCCAAAAAACCTGATCCTTTAGAACTTGTTGTTACACAGCCCAACAGAGAGAGACAGAAACTCCTAAGGGAACAGAACATCTTGAAACAAGTAAGTAAAAGTGTTTTATTTAAGCTGTGCACTTCAAACTGTAAAACTTTTAATTTGGGATAAATTAATGTAGCAGCCTAAATACACACGCTTGCAAATTTAAACTTCATAAAAGTTGTTTTGGTTTTAATAACGAATTTTCCATAATTTAGCTATGCAGATTTTGAAAATAATATTCATTATTTTCTATCACGTAAGGATTTTTTACACATTGGGAAGAAGAAAAAAACTCTTACTTGGATCAAATTATTATTT